GATTTCATAAAAAGTTTCAAATTTTAGAAAAAAAATAAATCGCTTTAATTTATTACACTTAACTTTTTTATGTTACTACTGCTCCATAAATCTTAATAGGCAGGGAACATTCAGGGCTTGCCCTGATACGAGCAGTCTTGTTTTGGTTTTGGTATCAAAAATTGGCCGAGATTTTTGGTATCATGCAGCGGCGGATCTAGGGTTTTCTCAAGGGGGGGACAGATTTTCAAAAAACTTTTGTTTTTTTAAAGTCGATCAAATTGATTTTTCGAGCTCTCTCAAAGCACTACAAAGACCCTGTTTTGGCAAAAATTTTGGGGCCGCAAGCGTTTTTTAGGCGCGCGCTCCACTCTCAAAATTAGTACATGTTGGCGCTGAAGGCGCCTTTAGAAAAATTTTAGTGTCTGTCACCAAAAATGGATATCTCAAAATAGTACAAAGGTGGGACCCTTTGCTTCGGCAGGGGTTCGACTCCTTGAGGGGGAGAAGGGGCGTCCCCCCTAAATCCGCCATGGTATGTTGTAAGAAAATATGTATATTCCTCCTTTATTGCTTTTTCTCTGGAATTTGAATTTTTTTGATATACCTGCATCAATTTTTGAGGAAAAATTTGACGGTTCATTAACAGCAGCATTGTTGTAGAAAGTATGAAAAAAGCAGAAGGTGAAAAAAGCGGTTGAGCTAACTATAATGACAATAAAATTCATTCTGTACTGTCCTGTCCGTTAATCAAGTTTGAAGTTAATGAAATCGTGGTGTTTGCTAGTCTGTTTAGTATGAGTTCTTATCTCGAGTAAATTTGAATGTTTCAGGTTTTCAGCGTCTTGATGTCCCTTAGTTATCTATATAAAAAGTAAAACAAGGGCGAAGAATTTCGAATGCAAGTTACAAAAACATTCCCCTCCCCCTCCCCAAAACACATTAACAATCAGAGACTCAAATGAATCGGATCCGATCGCAAACGATTTCGATGTCCAAAAAGGTCCGATCTCATTTAGATCCGATGTCAAAAGTTTCTGAAATTAATGGGATCCAATTTCCGAAATATGGCATTTCAAATGAATTCGTTTTCAATGGGTCCGATCTCGAATAGTTCCGAAACAAATAGGTCCGATCTCAATTGGATCCGCTGTCCAAACAATCGGGTTTCAAATGAATCATATATCAAATATATTCAAGTTCAAAAGAATCCATTTTTAAAAGATTCGATGTCTAAAGATTCATTCTTAAATGAATCCAATGTCAAACAGATCCATTCTCAAACAGATCCGACGTCAAATTGTTCCGATCTCAAATGGATTCGATGTCAAATGGATCCACTCACATTGTATCCAAGTCAAAAGGATTCAACTGTAAATAAATCCCATACCAAATAGAGCCAATGTCAAAGTGGTCCGATCTCAAAAAGGTCCGATCTCAATTCGATCTGATAACAAACAAATCCAATTTTAATTGAATCCAATGCCAAAAAGATCCGATGACAAATTGATCCAATTTTGGTCCGATGTCAATTGAATCTCACCCTAAACGCTTACGATGTCAATTGGATCCGATGTCAATAGAATACAAAGTCAAAAGTTTACGCTTTTACAAGGATTCAATATCAAATGAGTCCGATCACAAAATACCTGAACAAAAAACTGATCCGATAGTAAATGGATCCAATGTCAAGTGGGCCCAGTCTCAAATGAATCGGATATCAATTTGAACCCATGCCAAATGAACCGATATCAGATGAATCCAATCTCAAGTCAAACTCATGCCGAAAAGACCCGACAATCTCAACTGGGCCAGATGGATTCGATTGTGAGGTCAATATAAAGTAAATCTGATTTCAGAAAGATCCCATCGCAATTGAATCCGATGTCGACTGAACTCATTTTTCAAACAATGCAATGTAAATCCCGTCCCAATTAGATCCGATGTCAATTTTATCCGATGTCAACTGGGTCCGAGTGCGATGTCAAATTGAATCCGATCTCAAATTGATTCGATCTCAAAGAGGTCCATTCTCAGATCAATCTGATGTCAAATGAATCCGATCTCAAATTGATTCGATCTCAAAGAGGTCCATTCTCAGATCAATCTGATGTCAAATGAATCCAATGTCAAAAAGATCCATGCTTAAAAACAATCGATGTCAAATTGATCAAATTTTGAATCGATTCGATGTCAAATGGATCCGGTCCTTAAATGCTTACGACATCAATTGGATCCAATGTCAAAATAATCCGATGTCAAAATTAGTCGATTTTACTCAGATTCGATATCAAATGGGTCCAAGTTCAAATCGATTCGAATTCTATTTGCTCCGATCTCAAACGGGTTTGATGTCAAAATAACTTAATCTCGAATCGTTTCAAAGACAACCGATACTGATTTTCAACAGATTCAATCTCAAATGGATCAGGTAAAGAGTTGATTCGATTTCATAAGTATTCGATTTCAGATAGATCCGATGTCAATTGGATTCAATTTTTAAACATTGCGATGTGAAATGGGTCCAGTCCCAATTACATCCGATGTCAATTTGAACTCATCTCAAATGGGTCCATTGTCAAATTGAACTCAATCTCAAAAAGATATCTAGTCAAAATGATCTCAAAAAACCTGACTGATCTCAAAATATCAGATCGTAAATGGATCCAATGAGTTCGATCTCAAATGGATCTGAGATCAATTTGAACCTATACCGTGTAGATCTGATATCAGTTCGAGCCCATGTCAAAACAACTTGATCTCAATTAGATCAGATGCATCCGACTATTGGTTCGACCCTAAGTGAATCCGATTTCAAAAAGACACAATCCTGATTGGATCCGATGAATTATATGTTGTCAACTGGGTTCGATGTAAGTAAAGGGATCTAATCTCAAATGTATCTGGTGTCAAATGGGTCCATTCCCTGTTAAATCCTATGTCAGTGTGATCTGAACTCAAATAGATCCGATATCAAATTGAATCCAATTTAAAATCTAAAAAGGATTCAAAATTAAATCGATCCGACCTCAAATTAATCTGATAACGAACGAATCTGGTTTTGTTTGGATCCAATGTCAAATGTTCCGGTCTCAAATGGATCCTGTATCGATTTAATCCTCTCAAATCCTCTCCTGTATCAGATCTCAAATCGAACCTATGCCAAACGGATCCTATCTCAAGTGAACCTGGTAACAATCGGATCCGATCTTATTTGGATCCAATGTCAAATTGTTTGACCTCAAACAGATTCGACATCGGTTTGATCCTACCCTAAATGTATCTGATCTCAAATCGAACCCAAGCCAAGTGGATCCGATCTCAAATGGATCTGATGACAACAATGTTCGATCATAATTGAATTCGATTTCAAACGGAACGAATATAAAATGGATCTGATCATGAGTGAATCAGATGTCAAATGGATCCCATCTCAAGTGGATCCGATGTCAAATGATCCGATCTCAAACAAATCCGATATCAAATGTGATCCGATATCAAATGGAAACAAGGTCAAACAATTCGATCACAAATAGAGCCGATCTTTTTTGGACCCGATGTCAACTGGCTTTAATCTCAAAAAGATCCACCATCAAATGGCTTCGTTCATAAAAGGAGCCAATGTCATATGGACTCGATCATAAATGATTTCGATTTCAAATGGACCCAATATCAAATGGATCCGATCACAAATGAATCAGATATCAAATGGATCCGATCTCAAATGGACCGAGCTCAAATTGATCTGTTCGCAAATAGAAGCGGTGTCAAAAGCATCCAGTTTCAAATGGATTCGATCATTAATAGATCTGATGTCAAATAGATCTGATCTCAATTAGATCCGATGTCGATTGGATCATATGTCAAACTGATCCGATCTCAAAAAGGTCAGTTGCCAAATGGATCTGATGTCAAACTGATCCATTCTCAAATGTATCAAATGTCAAATGGGTTTGAACTCAAGTAGGTCTGATCTCAAATAATTGCAATCTCAAATGAATTCGGTTTCATTATAATTTGTTGAGAATTTGGTTGATCGTTCTATGATTATATAGCATGCTCTGATTGTGCGTGTCCTACATTTTTCAGATTAACTCATTAGTGCGAAAAACAACTGCCATCACCCCTTATCTTCGTCTCAACCCTGGCTGGGGCTGATTTGAGGTGGTGGTGGGGGGAGGGGGTAAGCGGACGCTTTATTTAGGGTTTCGACCCCCTGCCGACCCAAAGAGATATCCATTGGCAGACGGACCCTAAATTTTCCAAAAAGTGCCTAAAAACGCTATTTTCGGCCTGTTTTTTCAAATTTTTGCCTGCGGCGCAAAAAAAAAATGATCAGTACAGGGACTTTTTAATAGTTTGGGAGAGCGAAAAATCAGTTTGGCTGACCTAAAAAAAAGTCGACAAAATTTTGGAAAATCCCACCCTCGAAAAATCCTAGATCCGCCCTTGACCCAGGCTGCCAAATTTTTCAAAAGGGTCCCATATTTTTTCTATTTTACGACACCCACTTTTGGTTTAACAACCTCAAAAATTTCCGAAGGCGCGTATTCGTTGCCAAAACTAAAAGTGAAAGGGGAGTGTGCCGAAAATGCCACAATTTTTTTATTAAATTTTTTTTCGAAAAGTGCTCAAAGAGGTCATTATTTGGCCTGTCATATTTTCAAAGTGGTGGACTAAAAAAGTTGACAGAACTTTCCATTTTGTTTTGAAAACGGCTCCCTAAAACTATTTACAACTGTTTAGAAAATTCAACTTCTTCAATTTCTATTTGTCTAAGCGCATTCATTGATGATACCTTGATTCAGGCCGGTGAAATTCTAATTTAACATGCCCTGTCTCGCTTTCTGCGTAATCTTTTCTTTTTCTGGCTCAATATTTAATGTCAAATCGGCAGCTCTGGATCCCAGTATGTTATCCGCATCTGTAACAAAATTGCTTGGTGTCGCCGCTGGAAAAACTCCTGCTCAATGTACTGACTAATTCAAAAATGCGTTTTTTATTCAAATTTTATTATGATTTTTTACAATTTGAAAACTGACACAGACAAAGACATCATCTATGGGCTGCAAAACAGACACTATAAACTACACAAACTTTATCCAAATGTTAAAATCAGAGTCTTTTTCATTCACAATTTGAGCCATCCAGCTTGATTCCGTTCACGACTGTTCAGCCTATTTCCTCCAGAAAAATGGGCCGTAGGGGCAGAGGGCTGCCTCATCCTCAGGCGACAACGGGACTCGGTCGCAGAACTTCTGCCAGTCGCATCTAAATGCGGCATCGATGAAGTCTCCGAACACCTTCCATTCGATCTCCCAGATGTCAATCTCTTCCAGCAGCAACTCCTCGTCTTCTTTCTCTTCGTCGTAGTCGTCTCCTCGTTTGTCGATTGCGCCAGAGAAGTAGTACTCTTCGTCGTAGTCGAATTCACCGCAAGCCTCTCGGAAGGCGTAGAAATCTTGGATCTAGAAACACAATAAGAACACTAAACAACTATTCTCCGTTGGAACCATTCAAGTTTGTTTTCAAGAAGTTCACGAAAAAGAAAACAAAATTCTTAAAAAAAACAATATGATAAATCAATTAGAGCCGCGATATTCTCCCATCAGCTCATGACCGTCCGTATCATGCCCAAAAATGTATCAAAATATGAAAAATATCTTCTTGACTGATATTTATGTTAAGGATAACTTATTCAACTTATTCAACAAACATTCGGCATCTCTCAAATTGGTCCCTCGAATTTATATCCACATGACCTACCAGGTAGAAGAGCTCGACCAACTCGACGATGGGACCCAGCTCCTTCTTCTTCAGACAGACCTCGTCGTCTTTCTTCGGTTTGTCCATCAAATCTTTCTCCGGAACCGTATCTTCAACCATGTCTTTCACATCTCCCATCGTATCAACGACCATTCCAGACCCGGATGAAGGCACAGCGCCTCGTGGTTGTTGTATGTGGTCCCGTCTCGCTTTGTGCACAACGCGGTTCCGCTTCATCACCCGATTGGGGTTGGCTGAAAAAAGTGAAAATGGTAATTGATCTTGTTGGTCTTTCTTGACCAAAAAAATTCAAGGTCGCTATGGTTTTTTCTGGTCCGAAAATTGTTTCAGAAAGCTGATCGGCACATCTATGGTTGATGAAAGGATTTGAAAAAGGAAAAGTTAAGTAGCTAATAGATATTGAGAAATCGGTCCATCATGAATTTTTTGGATATCAACAAAGAAAATTGATTATTCAATTTAAGCTGTATTAGATAGACGAATAGCTTAGAAAATTAATGTCAACTGGATGTCTATTCGAAACATGCTGCTCAATTTAACCCTACAGACTGTTGCTTTGTTTGAATTTAGAGTCCCAATCAACCCTTTCAATCCTTGCTGTGCTTTGATAGTGAATTATTTGGGGGAGAAACATACTAAGGGGCAAAACATGTAATCACACTCGAATGACAAACAAATATTTTTCATAAACTTTAGGTATGGTTTTAGACATCTTAGTAAGAAATAGCTTAACTTACCATCGATAAAAGCGACGGCCAAAGCAAGAAGCGTGACGACTAGAAGAACTCTCATTTTTTTATCAGACTTGATTTGATCAACTGTTGATGAAGAAAGTTTTGGTTCAAAATGATTTTTACCTGTGGCTTGTGCCTCTCAATAACAATGAAGGCGTTTTTATTTGATCACGCTCAAAAGGTTCTTCATATTTAAAGTTGGCCAGCGTCATACTACAATGGAGGCGCTTTTAGAGATCTTAGACGTCAAAGCTCAGAAACAAAAAACGGTTTTAATTTTTATGACTTATATACAAGTTGGTACAATATACTCAAATACGAATTATATTTTGATCTTTGAGATAATAAATGCAAAGTACACTATTTTTCAATACTTTCTTATGATTGCTGTGAGAGCAAAAATGAGCGGCTGGGCCCTGGTTTGAAAACGCACGATAATTTTGTTAACCATCGTCAAAAAATAGTAATCAATTGGTAAAACATGTTGAAGAAATGACTTTAAGAAAGGTTTGCGTTTCAGCTTGAAAAATGAAAATCGAGCGGTCCAGGACCTCCATGCTTATTTCATATACTTTTTCACACATTGAGAATTCAACCAAAAAATAATTGAGAAGAAAGTATTAAAACTAAGAGGCACTCGCAATCTTAAAACCATTAAAACAAAACAATAAAAGTGCCTCTGATAAAGCCACGCACGACGCAGACAAAGTTAAATAATATCATAACCAGCGGTCAAACCAAATAAAAAACATCTTTCGATTCTCGAACCAAAACCATGTTTTTGACAACCAAATTACCGAGCAATTACCGAGCAATTACCGAGCAATTACCGTTGATATATAAAAGTTTGTGTTTTGTAAAGGAAGAAAGAGGAATCAAAACATATATGTATATATTAGGGTATACATATACTACTTTTCAATTTTCAGTACTCACTGTCAAAAATTCGCTAAACCAAGCTGGTGTTGTTGCTTATATATGCCCACATAATTTTTAATTCATGTTAAATTCAGTAGTAGTCGTTAAATTAGATCAAAAAAGGAAGAAACAATTTTTTATGTTAATAGTACAAAAAATGAAAAAATATTTGTGTATATATTTTGTAAAAATTTCCCATATGAAAAGTGACCTTAAAATCATCAATTTTATTTCAATTTATTTCGGAATATTTCCCAATTGAAAGATAACAAAGAAATCATCAATTTTTTGATAGAGATTAGTTCAAACACCGAAAAAATTGAAAAAAAAATTGCTATTTTGCTAGAAACTGCAAAATTTTTAGAAAAAAGTAACGTTGATTTACCAATTTTTTAATTAATTTTTTATTATTAAATATTTTCTGAAAAATAATGAGTTTCACAAAAATTGTTCGAACGTGAAACTAATTCTACATGTAAGCTATCAGTCTGAACGTGTAAAACAAAACGTGGTGTTTTGTTAACTTCTATTCAATTTAAGTGTTTTTTTTTGTAAAAGAAAATTTGGTTTTCGCTAAAATTTTAATCAACATAATTTCAATATGCCTTATAAATAACATATAAATAGTTATTTGTAACAAAAATTTCCAAGCGAATTAAAAACCAAAAAACCTCGACAAGTCGCATGGTTGTTTTTGGGTTCGAAATGAGCAGATGCCAGACGTGATTGATTGTTTGATAAATTCATATTTAAATTTGATAAAAACAACCATGAAAAATAATGAGTTTCACAAAAATTGTTCGAACGTGAAACTAATTCTACATGTAAGCTATCAGTCTGAACGTGTAAAACAAAACGTGGTGTTTTGTTAACTTCTATTCAATTTAAGTGTTTTTTTTTTGTAAAAGAAAATTTGGTTTTCGCTAAAATTTTAATCAACATAATTTCAATATGCCTTATAAATAACATATAAATAGTTATTTGTAACAAAAATTTTCAAGCAAATTAAAAACCAAAAAACCTCGACAAGTCGCATGGTTGTTTTTGGGTTCGAAATGAGCAGATGCCAGACGTGATTGATTGTTTGATAAATTCATATTTAACTTTGTTGTCTAGTAGGATTAGTAATTGGATCTCGAAAAAAGAACCAACAAAGTTGAACTTTAATTAGGAATCCTGTCCATGATTTTTTGAGAAAAAATTTGTCAATGTTTAACAACTTTGCTGCTTTGATCAATTGAGACTGTTGAAAGTCGCTGGCCTACGAGCAACGCTTCTTTAGGATCTGCTGTCCCTCGCAAAACTTCAACTTCAAGTCTTAAAAGGGCACCAACAATTTCAGGATTGGAAGGTGCGTTATGGGTGGACCGTTTTTTAAGCGTTATGGGAGGACCGTCTTCTTCAAAGTTGGGACTTTGAAATTTTTTAGAGTCAGCTTGCTGGTTATGAAATAAGTCATATTTGTCAATGGGAGTACCTTTGCGAACAACGGGTTATAATGTTAAACTGTAATTCCGAATTTATTTCCTTTGATTACTGAAGATAGCCTTAGGACACTTGACAACTAGCAGCCGTCATTAGGGTTTCGAAATGAATACATCTTTGCGGACAAAATGACTTTGGACTGTTGGTTTTACAGTTGTTTTGCTTGTAACTTCGTTATAGTTTAGTTATTCAGACACCGAATAATATCGCGCAAAACATAACGTAGGTCTTACTTGACACAAAAAATTTTGGATTCGCAATTTGAGTCGCGAGAACAAATTCTGGCTTCAAATGAGTCAGTCCTACCCTTAGATTGCTATTAGGGTTCAAAATTGAACCGTGGTAAAAATATCAAATATTTATTCGTCCATGAAACACTCTGAGAGGTCGTTTTGTCCACTTTAGACGTCTTTCATGGTTGCTTTTGTCCATATCAAACAATCAGCTTTATACTATTGACACAAAGATGCTAGTTTTATTTTCACACAGCCCTCGACGAGAAAAAACTCAGTTTCAAAAATCGCTCTTTGAGCGTATGAAAATTGATAGAAGTGTGGGTAACTTCACTCTTGTATATAACATCTCAATTGGAGAAAACTTGGATAAAAGTTAAAATGAATTTGCACAATGCAATTTTCGAGGCTTCTGTAATTTTTCCCGTAGTTGAATCACTTGTCAAATTATAGCAGTCATTTTCTATTGTTGCTTCAAATTTTAATTCTAAAGTGTGTAAATCCAAACAGAGTTGCGATCTGTTTTCAACAAAAACGCTGTATCATCATTGAAAGTGATGGGAATTGTCTTCTGTTCATATAAATTGTCAATTATCACCAGCACTTCCTGTCAATTGGAAATGCTTAGACTTGATTGATCTGCCGTCCTGGAAACTTTCTTTTTTTATTGATGATATTTCAAAATATCAGGTTTTCGTTTTTTGAGGCTTTCGTTTGTTTACTTTCGAAGACCGACTTATTCGAGACGCTGGTTTGTTGTCTTCAAGATTAATGTCTTCATTGTTCTATCTTCATAAAATTTTTTGTCACATTCTTACTTTTCTCATCTTGAAGAGTGTATGCTTGTGATTGAATTTAAAAAATATTGACAATTAAATAAGTCTGATAACTGAATTGCCGCTGATAACGTTTTACGGTAAAGCTTATCCATTGTTTCAATATGAACATGATCTTTTTTTAGAATTTTTGGGCTTGTGTGAGGATTTTTAGGATTTTGTCTGGCCATCAGTTTTTTTTGGTCATTCGGGAGGGCGCCATTCCAATCCTCTATTAACTCTTCAAATTTTTCGACAGAAAGCCACAACCATTTGTCTTACAAAAAACTAATTACAGGTGCTTTCAACTATCTCTGCTCTGTCTGCCAATATCGTTTTTGTATCTCCACTGAAAGTGTGATTCATTTTCATGTTCATAGCTGTGCAAAAAGATTTGGGTGATTCCTCCTTTGGGTGAAAACTAAAATTAATTTCCTAAATGACTGCTCTTAAATTCCTGCTTTTTAAGAGAATTTTTGTAGAGCAAAATTAATGTAAAAACATAACCGATTACCGAGTCAGCCATTGTTTTGAATGCGGTAACTTTCAAACTTTTTTCCTTGATGTTTTTGGGTTATATATGCTGTTTAGATTAAAACTGGTGCCAGTTTTTGTCCTAATTGATATCTCATTATGACTTATATCTCATTAAAATAAGTTGTATTTCTTTTTTATATCTCTTTAAAACTTATGACGTGTGCTTATAACCCTTGGTTTTTGCTCCTAAATATTACTTTTAATTCAAAGCCAAAATTTTGTTTTCACTTTAAATTTTCAAACATAATTTTTTAATTACAGAATATCTTGTTTGAGGGTCTAGGCCTATAGCAGAATCGTTCAAACTTGTATTTGAATTTGAAAAAATTCAAGGAAAGAGTTCAACCACTATTTGGAGGATTTCCTCAAACGTAAGCAAAACTGTTTTGTGTCCAATCGAAAATTAAATAAGAACGCACACGCACAAGGGCACTGACATAAGTTGTTAGCAAACTTGACGTAAAAGAATCAGTGAAATCATCACGGTAGCATGCATTTTCTTCATCTAAACTTTTTGTCGAAAATACCTCATTATCTGAAAGCTTTAGTATTTGGAAATTAAGAACATGTTAAAATAATTTCAATTCAATTAAATCTATTTTGATCAACTTTAATCAGTTATAAACTGAGGTGGGTAAACTGATTAGAGGGAACAAAAAGGGTGGGGGGTTAAATCTGGAGGGGGCGGTCGGAAGCCTAAACTGAGTGTAGGACCGAACGTGAACAGAGAAAGTGGGTGATTGGTGCATCAAATTTTTTCTAACATCTCCAGTCATTGACTCTCAAACAGGCAAATTGTTGGGAAAAACCGCAAAGAACGTTTATTCTGCCCGATGCAGCCTTTAAAGCTTGAAAGACAAAAATTTATTCGCTTTTCGGAGTAAAGTAGGGCCCCAATATCTTGTTCTACTTATATTGTATAAAAAAAAATTGTCAAAATTTTTCTTTTAACGCAAAAATCAAAGCCCATATCTAGAGTGTTTTGAATTACTACCATATTGAAATCAGGTTTTAGTTTTTATCAGTTTTATAATTCATTAATTTTACTGAGAAGACGCTCAATTTTTGACGATAGTCACAGTATCCTAAAACTATTCAGTATTTGCAAAAAAAAATTATACAAAAAAGTTCGGGCATGCAGG